GGGGGGGGGGGGCGGAGAAACACCCTCATTATTGTTCCTTCCAGGAAGTCAAGCATGTTCTGTTTGCCAGTTTGTTTGCCTGCTTGCTCTTGAGTTACTCGGCACATCCTATCTCTCAGGAACACAAGGGACACGCCTATTCTTTTCTGTAGAAATCTCCAGGCCAGAAACTTTATCTCTGGTGGCTTTTAAATGCTAAGATGCTACACAAAACATTACACTGACATGCTGATAGTCGAGACTGCACCTATACTGTGGTGAAAACTCACTGCCTTACTCACCTAAAATATTATATTGAAGATCTCAAAAATACTATCAGGACTTCAGGAACAATAACAGGTCTCAGTTCAATTTGTGACACATGAGGAGGAACCCCAAGCCCAAATGGGGAAAAACAGGAGAGTATTTCAGGGACCTTTGCAAATTAGTTGCTGCCCTCAACTGAACCACAGCTGGTTTGTTGATGGAAAGAAAGAATAACAAAACGAGGTCTGAAGTGTTAAAAGGTCAGAGCAGTTAAAGAATGGATAAGAAATACATTTGGCCCTTACAGTGCAATGATATTGCAGGTGTGAACTCAATTTACCACCCCAAAGACTTAGCATAGGGCTACTCCACTTTGATCTACAAAGGAAATGCTTTACACTGTAAGAATAGCTGATCTTTTTACACTGCTTATGGCTTCAGTTCAAGGGGTCTTCAGTAACCTCTGTAAACCCTAAATTTCCTCATTGGCCTTATAAAACCACCATAAATAGTGTTTGACATGATGTGTATATAAACTTTCTTAGTATTACTTTTTAAATGAGAAGCCATGGTAGAAGGCTCTTTGCAAAAAGCCAGGCGAGGTTGCAGGACACTGCAATATTTGCTTATTCAAAAGCGGGTTCAGGGATGAAAGTTCTTCTCTCTGCCAGGTTCTGCAGGATCTAACATAGAGTTCCTTTAGATACAGGTCTTTTGGTCCTTGCAAGTCATGAAGCTTCTTAGACTCAAGAAGTCCAGGTGTGTTTTAATGAAGACTAGATATTTGTGTCCAGTCCACCGAGCCACTAAATCAGAATTCAGGGAGACAGGGCTTTTGCTTTCTTCCTCCTTCCTTCCATGGGATGGCGGAAGTCTCTAAAAGGCAGGATTCAAGCAGGAACAGGCCTGGATCAGAGAGACCTAGGTCTGAATCATAGCTGGGTGACCCTGTACGTGTCTACTTCTCCAGTGTTGGTTTCCTCTTTGCTCCATGTGAAGTAAAATCCACACAGAAACAATGGTCGTTTGGTTTAGATTATGAAAGCAGTGTATGTTCAAGAACTTATTCTTCCAAATATGTCTGGCATATGGAAGATGCTCAATGTTTGCTGAACCCAGAAAGATTAGCATAGCTACTTTCAGTGTTAGCCTTCCAGTTACACCCCCAGTCCCATGCAGCACCCAACTTTAAGCTCATATAAAAAGACTTGAGCAGACTCAGTGCTTTCTACCAATGACAAAAGAAGCCAGCAGAGTCCTAACTAACAAGCCATTTGAATGGAATTCTCCTGAAGATGACAGGCACTCAGGCAACAAACTCAGGCTGGCTTCCCTGACTTCCTTCCAGGTGTGTATCTGGGTGGGGGTGGGGAGGGGGTGGATATAGACTGTGCCCCTAGCCCTGGTCTCAGTCCTCCACAAGACTGGCTTCTCTAGAACGAATCCTCCTTGGGGACCAGCAAGTGTCAGACCTGAGCTCCCACTGTTCCGAACCCCCAGGCGCTCCCTAGCTCTTTCCAGAGGCAGGACAGCAGCTCTGCCTTCATAGTCCCAGGGCTCCAGGGCTCACATTCCTGGGCGTGGAGCTCAGTGGCATCAGAAATGGCCTGTGCTCTGCTGCTTTGGCGGCAGCAGCTGGCCCGTTCTCGCTTCACCCTGGCAGGGCTTGCAGGGCGCGTGCATCCCCAAGCAGTCCCAGACGCCGTCCCCTAAGAGGGCGCCCCCGCCACTCTCGCCTCCCAATCTCAGCAGAGTGTCCCCAGGGTCTGGCCAGGGCCTCCTCTTCCTCCGGCCAGCCCCGGGGAAGCGACTGGGGGTGGGGCGAGACACTTTCTGGGACCCGCTTACGCCGCCCTCTCCATCCCATTTCTTGCAAGAAAGAGATAGAGGAAGCCAAGACCATTTCGCCCGCAGGTACCCCCAAATCTGTGGCGCTAACAATCATCCCCATCCACCGTTCAATTCATTGTCCCCCAGCTGGGCAGCTCTGCGGAAAGCCCTTGAGAGGTACCCCCTAAAAAACCCCGCGCCCCGCTGCCCCCCCAACTCTCGCCCCGCGCCACCTCCCGGCTCCGCACATCCCTCTCCGGGAAGGCTCGCCGTTTTTCCAGAGCAGAATCCGGTCAGCGGGTCTTGGAGGTTGTTTCCCACCTCCCCTTCCGACTCCCTGTGCGGGAGCCCACAAGTAGATCCCGCGCAAGAGGCCAAGAAGCCGGGAGGGCTGCCCCCAAATCTGCGCTCACCCCGGGCCCGGCCCGCTTTCCCTCCCTCCATCTCCGTCCTTTCTTTCAGCTCCAGTCCCTGCGCCTCCAGCGCCCAGCATCTCTTCGGCTCAAACAGAGGAAACTTCTTTCTGGGCTAAATTCAGGTCCGAGTAGGAAAGGCTTCATCTTCCCCGCCTCCCTCTAACTCCGGCTCGAGGAAACCGCAAGGAGCCGGCACCAGGGGCGTGCTTACCCCCAACTCCCCCCCCCTCCCCAAAAAAGAGCTGGGGCTACTAGTGCTCCCCGACTTTGCAGGTTCACAGGTCCGGTCGGGTCAGAGACCACCACGGGGGTTGTATGCACATTCATGATCTTTCCAGAGACCCTGCCCGTCCCTCGTGGCTTGCAAGAAACTAGTAAACAAAATGCAAACCCCAGCAACTTTGGGGAGTGCGTGTATATAAGTGTGTAAGAGAACGAGGGCGGGAGAGAGAGAGCGCATCGCTCAAGAGTTAGAACAGCTGCAAGAGCACATCTGGAAGAGGGGGAAGGGGGACGGAGAGGAGGGGACGAGAAGCGTTCTGCTGAAGGGGAATCCCCCCTTCCCCGGGCCGCTTCAGGGCCGAGGGCCGGGCCGGCCGGTCGTTACCTGTCCTACGTTGATGAAGCCGTACTTGCTGGCAATGCGGTTGGCCTCCGGGAAGCCGCCGGCGATTTTGACTGCCCAGTGGTTGGTGTAGACTCGCGTCCGGCACACGGGGAGCAGGCAGCCGGCGAGCAGCGCCAGCAC